ACCTGAGACCTGGAAAGATGATGGGTGAATGCAGCCTAAATAGCTTTTTGTGGGGGTGGGGGGTGGGGGGAGGCACCACCATGAAACACTACTATACTGGTAAAATTACACTGATCCAGACCGGTTCTCTAAAAATCCCAGATCTCTTCTGGCTAGAAGAAATCGCAGATGTCATCCAATTCAACCACTCCATTTTACCTTTAAGGAAGGTAAGGAGGAAACTGAAGCTCGTCATTTGTTAAAGGTCTCACAGATCATAAGTGGCAAAGATGGGATTCAAACTCAGGGGTTCTGAGGACACCATGCTATGATTGGGAAAGTGTGATTGGCCATCACCTGAAATCTTCTAAGGGAGAGAAGGAGCTAGCAAATAAAGAGGATCCAGAAAAGTTCCTGTCAGGGGGGTTCAAGTGGCATCTTAAAGGAAGAGAGGGCACGAGGTCGAGGGAAAAAGAATGACTTCTAAGAATGGTAGCTGGCCAGTGCAAAGGCGTACAGACAGAGGATGGAGTGTTTTGAGTTTCCAGTGAGGCATCCACCCATCGCCTTATGTCACACTTGCATTTGACCCCTTTGCCCTCTGTTCTGTATCTGCTGACTCCCTGTCCTAGCAAGCAGAGCAAAATCTAGGCGGCCCAAAGAATGATTCTTTTAGGACAGGGGGCAATGTTTTTGCAGCCAGATTCCTATTTTTGGTGCTCAGAATTCCTTTTAGTTAGAGACCACTCTCTTCTGTCAAACATACCTTAATATACCTAGGATTTGACTTCCGCAAAGGAGGTACTCCCTCTATGGACACAGATTGTAAACCCCCTAGGATCTTAATGGCTGCTCTTCATGAACCGCTGTGCCTAAAGCATGTCCCCATCTCTGAGCATGAGTCTGGAGAGGGATGTGTAGCTAGGCTGGCTCCCCAAAACAGACAGAGGCAGTAGAAGGTGCCCAAGGTCCTTCCATGGTGACAGGATTTCCATAGGCATAGGCATAGCAGGTTGAAAACTGGAGTCCAGAAGATCTTGATTTGGATCCCACCTCTGACACTTAAAATCTGTGTGACTCTGGACATATCACTTGTCCTCCCTAAACCTCAGTTTGCTCATCTGTAAAGTGGGGGTGTTGCTTTTGTTTGTCTTTCATTTTCGAAGAGGATCAATGACATCACCCGGTGATGTCTTGACTTGCAAGTGAACTGGATTTAAGTTTCATAAAGTTGTCAGCTTTACACTCTCTTCTGAGTGACTGAAATCCAGTGGCAGGACAAAAGTCAAGTTGACTGGAGATAGCCCAGGAAGCAGTGGATGACCTTGGCATCTTCGATGCCCAAGCTCTCTACAGCACCTGCTTCAGCCGCCCTCATGGCTGTTGGAACAAATTGTTCTCATCTACTCATTCCACTGGGAAATTGTTCACAGGCTTGGAGCAGATATTGCCCTGACTCACCGACAGGTTTGAGGTCCACTGGTTATCTTGAGATTAATCTTATAATTAATCTTATAACTTCGTTCCTTTGCACTGGCTGTTCTCTCTACCTAGAATATACTTTCTCCTCATCTGCCTCTTGGAATCCCTGGTTTCCTCAAGCTCCATCTTCTTCAGGGAGGTTTTCCTGATGCCCACCTGCTAGCACCCTATACCCCTATTTTCCATGTACCTATATGCATATCTCACCCTTAATAGAACATAAACACCTTGAGGGCAGGGAGTGTTTCACTTTTATCTTTATATCCCCAGTACCTAGTCCAGCGTTTGGCACATAGTAGCATTTAAGAAAGGCCTGCTGATTAACTGAAATGAGATAATGTATTGAAGAGTTTTATAGACTTTAAAGCACTATCTGAATGCCAGTTTTTACTACTGTTGCCTTGGTGATCCCAGCATCCCCTCAATACCTCTAGGAGGCATCAGAATAGGCACAAAATTTTTGTTTATGAAATCAATTTTTTTGGTCCAGACTTATGATTTCATTAGCCTAGGGAAAATACCTTCTACCAATGTGAACCCACATCCTGCAACTCTTCTTCAAGAGTGCTGCCTGGGATACTGAGAAGTCACTTGTCCAGTGTCACATGATCAGCATGCATATCAGAGGGAAAACCCAAACCCAGGTGGGTGCAGGGGACTGGAGGAGCAATGACAGAAGGGACTGACCAGTGGTTAATGGGAAAGAAGTCTTGGAAACAGGAGAATGTGGTACAGAAAAAGTGACCCTACCACTCCAGGCAGGAAGAAAATTCAGATGTGCTCTAAAGCAGGACAGCAGGTGCCATGACTGGCCGAAAGCCCAACCCCTTCCTCATCCAAAACTCTCATCTCAGGGCTTTCCCCATTTAGCATTCAGCTCGAAAGTCAACAGAAATTCTTAATTTACTTTACTAAAATTTGCTTTGTAGCCAGCTTAGCTGAACCCCATCTATTTTTAGAAAGCAAGAGATACTTAAAAGGTTTCCTGTAGATTACTGATCTGGTGATTCAGTTTAACTCAAGGAGCATTTATTAAACACCAACTATTGTGCTTAGGGATGGCAAAGAAAAAAGGCTCTCTCCTTACAGAGTTTACTATTCTACTAGGCAGCTATGACAGGTTCCCAGAGGCAGTAGGAGTAATGGAGAGCAATGGGGCTGGGGTGTGGGGTGTGGAAAGAAGAGAATGTTGGGGATTCCAAAGGTGGAAATCCTAAGATGATAGATTTTGAGCTAAAAAGGAACTTTGGGGCTATGAAGTCCAACCCCATGTCACAGGAAAAGAAACTGAGGCTGAGTGTGACTAGCACAGAGTGACACAGTCAATAAGGCAAGATTTGAATTCAGGTCTTTCTAATTCCAAGCTCAGTACATTATCCACTGTACCACCTAGGAAGGGGGAGCTTTCCAACTACAAGAGGGCAACCTGGGCAGGCTCAGAGATGGAATTCTGCATTGAAGAAGCAGCAAAGTGGGCCAATTTGGCTGGGATACAGAAGGTTACAATGAGGAGGTGTAATTTGCAATAAATGGGGAAAGATGGGCTGGAGCCAAGTTGTGAAGGCTCTAATGCCAAAGTGAGGAGTTTCTACCTTATCCTGGAGCAGAGAGAGCCCCAGAAGCTTTCTGAACATAGAAGTGATAGTCAAAAGCCTGCTTTAGGGAAGTCCCTTTGGTGGCTCTATGGAGAAGAGATGGGAGGGAAGAGAGACTTGAAGCAGGGCCATCAAAGAGGAGGCAGTTGAAATAGACCCAGAGGAGAGGTGATGAGAGCTTGAAGCTGTGCTGAGCAGTTGATTGATGGGCAATTTGGTGAAGATCGAATTAACATAACTTGGCAATTGATTGGATGTGCGAGGGAAGGTGAGAGGTCAGGCAGAATGCTAAGGTTACAAACCTGGCTGACCAGGGTGACCCCTTAACCAAAGCAGGAAAAGGGAGGAAGAACTGGAGGAAAAGATGAGTTCTCTTTGAGATTTTTAGAGAATATCCAAGTAGACCTGTCAAGCACAGTGGATGGATTTCTTGAAGGTGAGAACTTTCATCATCCTCAGCAAGGTACTAGTACCTAGGGCAATGCATGTTCCAGTGGGCTTTCAACAGAGAAACCCCTTGGAACTTCATTCTTGTTTTAAATGGTATTCTCTGGCTTACAATGCTATAAGGTAATCATTCCAGGCCAGACGTTACTAAGCTGTACCTGGGCAATAGGAAGAATCTGCTATTTCCATGCTCTCGAAGAAGGGTTCACTTTTATTTTCTCAAGTGAAATATTTATTCTGTAGACCTTCATTTCCTTAAAGGATCCTGGAACTTTCCAACTGAAAGGGACCTTAGCAACTGTGGCCCAACCCACTGTCCTGATGAGGAAACTGAAGCCTAGAGAGGGAAAAAGCTTTGTTCAATTTTACACAGGTAGAAATAAAGCTAAGGCTATATGTGACCCAGTCCTCTTCTGGTGTTTTCCCCACTATACCACAGTGCTAGGAAAGGGTACTGGTATATGAGAATTGTTTGAAATTAATCTGATATTCACTTCCTCATGGATAGAGTTTTATTATAGAGAAAGAAAATGGAAGGAAGGATCGAGAGTTGAAGAAAGGAAAAAAGGAAGGGAGGGAGGGAGAGAGGAAAAAGGTAATGTAGTACAGTGGCAAAACACTGGATTTGAAATCAGAGGACCTGAGTTCCAGGTTCCTCTGCTACTTAACTACCCGTAGGGCCTTGAGTAAGTCACAACTTCTCTGGGCCTCAGTTTCTTCATCTGTAAAATTCGGCAGCTGGCCTCTGGCCTCTAATAGGGTTCCTTCCAATTCTGAGTCTTAAGATGAGAAGAAGCTACCACTGAGGTTTGCACAAAGTGAACGCTTAATACATGTTTGTTAAATTGTTGAACTGAATTGAAGAAGGGAGTGAGGGAGGGGGGAGGGGGAGAGAGAGAGAGAGAGAGCGAGAGCGCTTATCTGCTTTGGTCCTATTACCTACCCAGTATCTTTGCCAAGAAAACCCCAAAAGAGGTCACGAAGAGTCGGACACTGCTGAAAAATGACTAAACAACAACAAAAATTACCTGCCCAAGGTGCATTTCTCAGTACCTTTCTCTAAGGTTAAAAAAAAAAAATGCTTGTATTTGAAATCCTGTGATCTTTCTGGTTAGGTCCACCGAAACATTACCCCTGCCTACAAACCCAAGGCAGTCTGGCAGGTTCACTTTGCACGGGGGAGAGTAGTGTAGCTCCCTCCAAAAGGGCTCCCATTGTGACATCACCGGGTTCGATTATCCGGACCCAAGTAGCCTTTTCCGAACGTTCCAAGCCTAGCCGATTGGCTCCCCAGCATTATGACGTCACGGGCCGAGCAGGCTCCGCTCTCCGGAGGCGCGGCAGGAAGGTTTTGTTCGGTGACTAGGAGGAGCCGAGGGAGGCGATTGCGTCCCGTCCTCTCCGTGGAGCTAGTGCAGCGTCCGCCCCCGCTTCCCCCCTCCCACTCCAGCCAGCCGCTGGCCACGCTGCCCGCCGAGCCCAACTATCCGTGGAGCGGGAGGGAGAAGGAAGAGGAGGGGAAGAAGGAGGAGGAGGAGGAGGGGCAGAGTCCGTCGCCGCAGCCCGCCCCCAGCCCGCCCGCCGCCTGCTTTTTACCCACAACATGTAAACAGTCCCCGCTAAGAGTTCTCCAGGGAGTCGGAGCGCGAGAGCTGGGCATTAAAGCAGGTCCGCGAGGAGCCCCCTGGCCCCGTGGATTCCCCGGGCGGCATCGCCGACGTATTGGGAGGCAGGAGACCGGAGGGAGCAGGGGCTGAGCCGAGCCGAGCCGAGCTGAGTTGAGCGCAGCGCAGCGCAGCGCTCGTGGAGGGGAGAGGCCGAGAGCTGCGCCCAGAGGGCCGGCCAGCTAGAGCGAGGGAGCCACAGACAGAGGAGCGAGCGAGGAGGGCAGTGGAGAGGGGAGCGAGGCGGCGGCGACCGACGGTATGGATTTCCAGCAGCTGGCTGACGTTGCGGACAAATGGTGTTCCAACACCCCCTTCGACCTCATCGCCACGGAGGAGACGGAGAGGAGGATGGATTTCTACGCCGACCCGGGGGTCTCCTTTTATGTGCTGTGTCCGGACAACGGCTGCGGGGACAATTTTGTAAGTGCCGTGGGAGGGAGGTGCCTTTGGCCCGGACTGTTGACTGGGAGGGGTAGGATGGACGGTGTGTGTGTGTCTGTGTGTGTGTGAGAGAGACACAGAGAGAGAGAGAGAGAGAGAGAGAGAGAGAGAGAGAGAGACAGAGACAGAGACAGAGAGAGACAGAGACAGAGACAGAGAGAGACAGAGAGAGAGAGACAGAGAGACAGAGAGAGAGAGAGAGACAGAGAGAGACAGAGAGACAGAGAGAGAGACAGAGAGAGAGAGAGAGAGAGAGAGGGTGAGCGTGAAGGTGGACTTTCCCCTTTCCCCTGCGCCTCAGCCCGCCTGGAGGGGCTTGGTGGGGAGGGGTCGGGGCTGAATTGGCCTTTTGGGCTTGGAGGCTTGGGGATGCCGCCCTCGGGGTGGGCTGCGGACTTCCAGGGGGGCGGACCCAGCGGCCTGAGCGCACTTAGGGAGGATCCTAGGTGGCGCTTCGCCCCAGACCCTACGGACTGGCCCAGCCCGGATTCGGGAGAGTTGCGCAGGAACCCGAGAGAGCCAGCCGGGGGGTTGGGGTGAGAGCATCCCGTGGGGCCATCTCTTTCCCGAGGCCCCGCCCAGGCGGCTGCCGGGTCCTAGGCTGGCAGCCCCTCTGTCACTCCCCGCCCCTTGTCTGGATTCCCCCTCTATCACCCGCAGCTCCGGCTGGCATCAGGCTCCCTCTCCGCCCCCTCCCCTCTCGCACACTGCACAACTCCTCTGCTTTCCCAAACCCGGGTGAAACCCCTCCCCAACTCTCCACGGTGATTCCCTGCTCCTGGAAGTGGGCACAAAGCCTCGGTTCCCAGAGCCGTGCCTGGGCTCCTGGACCTTCTGCGGAATCTCCTCCCTGAAAAACGCGCTCCCACAGACCCACACCACACACACACACACACACACACACACACACACACACACACACACACGCACACGCACACGCACACACGCACACACACACACACACGCGCTAAGAAGAGCTTGGGTGCGCCTATACTAAAGCACTCGCCTTGCTTCCGTGTTGTTATGAGCGGCTAGCGGATTGTGTGCTGGTTTGTGTGAGTGTGTGCGTTGACGGGTAACTGCCTGGAAGGGTGGGGTCTGCAGCCCTTTTTGGCCACCGTCTTTAGGAGTTGGAGGGGGAAACTGGAAACGTGCTTCCTAGCCACAGAATCCTTGGGAAGTCTCCAGTTACCAGGGCCCGGAACCCACTCCCTTGCCCCTCCCCTTCGGGGGAGGAGTCCAGGGAGATCTTGGCACCCCCTGCGTTCGGATGGACTAGGGTCTGTAGCTGCAGGAGCCCCCCCCCCCCCCCCGGCAAAGCCCTTCCTCCTTTCCTCCCACTCGGAATGGGGAAGGGGGTGGGAGGATAAGATTGGAGGGAGGGATACCCCACGATGCCCGAGCTCGCCCAGTGCAGGCAAAGAGAGGATCCCCTTCAGGCAACGACTCCTGAAAACGAGAGACCTAAACACCCCCCAATGTCAAGTTGCAGCTGCTCGGGCTGCTGTGTGGTCCTGGAAGCTTCGAGCTGTGGAGTGCAGGGCAGTGCCGCCTTGCTAGGGAAGGAGCTCCAAAGGGGCGAGGACAGGGGCGGAGGAGTTGGAGGAGCCCAAGTCCAGGTTCAGCACAGCCTTAGGCTTTCCGGTGGGTCGGGACAAAACTCTGGGATTCAGACCCTGTACTCTCTTCTCCCTGTCCCCTGACCTCAGACCCCCCACAAGTTCAACCGGACAGATTCCCTCCCCCCTTTGACGATCTTCCTCCACACTCTCTAGCCAGGTCTGTTCAAGGCCCTCCCATTCTTCCAGGCCCAGCTTAGACAACACTGCCTCCAGGAAGCCTTCCTGACTCCTTGCTAAAATTGACCCTTCCCTCCATGTTTCTGCTAACACTTTTCCTGGACGTTAGCATGCACTTACTATTGCCTTCCTTGTATGACCATTGTGTATCAGGATTTCCACTCTCCACTCCCATTAGAGTAAGCCTTAATGAGCAGGGATTGCTCTCTGCCTTTAAACACAGTAGCCTAAACCTAGGGTCAGTTATGGGGTACAGTGGATAGAGTGCTGGTCCTGGAGTCAGGAAGACTCCTCTTCCTGAATTCAGATCTGGCTTCAGACACTCACTAGCTGTGTGACCCTGGTCAAGTCACTTAGCCCCGTCTGCCTCAGTTTCCTCCTCTGTAAAATGAACTGGTGAAGGAAATAGCAAACCACTCCAGTATTTTTGCCAAGAAAACTCCAAATGGGGTCACCAACAATCCCACAGACTGAACAGCAACAACCTTACACCTCATTTGTACTGTTGAATTGAAGGCCTTCTCTAAGAAGCAGCATGGTAAATGGGACTGAGCAGAATGGTTCAACTCTAGTCTTTGACACACACAAATGGAGTGAACCTGGACAAAGTCACCTCCTCTCTCTCCTCACTGAAGGGACCTCAGATGCCATTCGGTCCAACCCCTTCATTTTACAGATGGGGAAACTGAGGCCCAGAGGAGCTGAAATGATTTCCTCAGAGTCATATGGGCTCTGGGTCTGAGGCAGAATTCAGTGTCGGGTCTTCTGACTCCAAGTCTCCCCGCCACCAATCCACTATACCACTTGGGCATAGGAAACCATTTGCACCCACTGGACCCAGATGGCTTTGGAGGAGAAACAAGACTAGTGACTTTGCACAGCTCTCCCTTACTCAAATCCAATTCAATTGCAAGTCACGTCATCACTTCCCTGAAGTCATGGTCCTCTTTGAGAAGGAAGGACAAACCACAACCTTGGTTGTTGTAAAGAATGTTTAGAATTTTATAGTATTTTGGAAAGAAGACTGGGTGGAGGTTCACAAAATGCTGGGGAGTCAGAAAGACCTGAGTTCAAGTGCTGCCCTGATACTATCTATGTGTTCATGGGCAAGTTTCACCTCTTTGGGCCTCCTTGCTTCATCTCTAAAATGAAGGCACCTCTGACGCACACTGACTGCAGGACCCTAGGTTCAACCTTAGTTAAGTTAATTCATGTCCCAATGAGGTGCCTCAGTGCTCTCGTCTCAGACTACACTATAAGCTTCTCTGTTTAGGAAGAGGATGTTAACTCCTCAAATGAGGTGGATAAATAAAAAAAAAAGCATTTATTAAGGCTTGAGAATAAAATTAGATAATATTTATAAAACATTTTGCCAACCTTAAAGTTCTATGTAATTGTTACTACTGTGAATATTATTTATTGCTATATGCTGAAGATATGCACTGAGCAAATTTACTTCATAATAGGCACCTTTTAATTAGCTGACTAAATTATCATACTTTCTAATAATAAACAAAAATAACATTTTACAGGACTAGTTTTGAATGTTACTTCATATGTACTAAACTGGAAAATGTTTTTCTTTATGCCCTGACAATGTAATGATTCAAATAATGAAAGAAGGTGGAAAAGGTTATCATTTAGTAGGCTGGAGTGTCCTCAAAGTTGTTTCTACAGGTTGCTTTCAACAAAAAAATTACTGTTTTCTCCAGGGGATTTCCTTGTATCTCACTGTCAGCTTGTTCTTATACTCTTCTCTCTCTAGTACAAGGGGTTAAATTGAGAAGGTGAAGATAAATCTTGAGAAAACTTGTTTCAGTGAAATCTGTTAACTGGCAGCAGAAAAATGAAATAAACGTAACCCTCTCTTGGAATAGCTAGAATTGATGAGACAGTGGGATGGAAGTTCCTTGAAGACAGAGACTGGACTGTTATTTTGTGTTTCTTTGTATTCTCAGCTCTTTGCTGTGGCCTGGCCTGGCCTGGCATACAGCAAGCACTTAATAAATGCTTGTTGACCTACAGACAGAAGTGTCTGTAGAAACTTCCCCAAGACTAACCAAGAACCAAATATTGGGGGTTCCTCTTGGTTTCTTTCTAATTGAACTATGTAAGCTCTTCTGTTGGGCTAATCTGGACGTTCCCTTTTCCTTCCAGTCCTTGTCTCCTCCCCCCAACTTTCCAGCTCCCATTTATGGATCGGCTTCCCTCTTAGAATATAAGCTTGTTAAAGACAGAAACTATCTTTCTTTCTGCTTGTATGTGTGTACCCAGTGCCTAGCAGAGTGCTTGGCATGTAGTAAGCACTCAATAAGTGCTCTATCTGCCCATCAGGCTTTTTTCGGTCATGTCCAACTCTTTGTGACCCCATTTGGGGTTTTCTTGGCAAAGATACTAGAGTGGTTTGGCATTTCCTTCCCTAGCTCATTTTATAGATGAGGAAACTGAGGCAAACAGGGTAAAGTGACACTTAGGGTCACCCAGCTAGGAAGTGTCTGAGGCCACATTTGAACCTGGGAAGATGAGTCTTCCTGACTCCAGGCCCAGCACTTTGCACCACCTAGCTGCCCATATCCATCCATCTGTCCATCCGTCTATTATCTGTATAGCTATCCACCTATCCACTCATCCATCCAGCCATCCCTTTTATCTATTTTAGCTTGTCTTCTCCTCTATGTTAATAAATATGTATTTACTATATGAAGTTGAATGAGAATAAATGCAAAGTGTTACCTCTGGGCTCAAAAAATCAACTTCCTAAGTATAAATAGCTAGGCAGCAGTTCCCACAAAAACATCTGCCGAATATGGCTGCCAAGAAAGTTAATGTGACTTTAGACTGCAATAAGAAGAGCGTAGTATGTAGGATGGGGCAGGTGAGAGGTCTGCTCTACCTTACCCTGGTCCAAGCACCCCTGGAGTGCTGTGTTCAGTTCTGGGCACATTTTAAGAAAGGACACTGCGACGCTGGAGGGCCTCCCGAGGAGGTGAGTGGCCTTGCTATCATATCCATGTGAGGAGTCAGTCGAAGGAACTGGGGGCATTAAGCCTGGAGAACAGAAGACTTAGGGGAGACTTGATAGCTGTCTTTTTGAAGCAGTGTCCCCCAGAATGCAGACTAGGCTTAGTCTGTTTGGCTTTGGAAGGTGGAACTAGGAACTATGAGTGGGAGATGCAGAAA